TGAGAGAATGCACATGCGAGTGCGAGGTGGAGAGAATGAATGAAGCGATTTGTGTTTGTTTCCATCTGAGATTGTGATGTGACATGTGGTAGTTTCTGAGTGAGTACACGGTGTTCGGCCAAATGTGTGTTTGTGATTTGAGGTGGTGGTGTATGGAGGAGGTGGAGTTTGAGGAAGAGAGGAGTTTATGAGTGAGTAGTTGATTTTGAAGGAATCATGATGAAGCTTGATTGGTGCATCAGTTGGGTGATCTGTCGTAGTGGGTAGACGAACGTGTGTTTATGCTGTGATGCGAGTCGGCCACACTGGTGTGTCGTGGCGTTTCGGACAGTCGATGTTGAGGTGTGGAGACAATGATAAACGAGTTGTTTGTCTGTCCGGACTACGTGGGAGCAGAGTGTGTTGTCTTGAGTGTGGTCGGGTGTGTGTTGTGTGTGCGTTTGTATGGCGGAACTCACTCTGTGATGTCTGTATGTGAATGATGGGGTTGTTGTTGGTGATTTCAAAATCGCCTGCGACCGCCGGGAGTCGAACCCGGATCGACTGCTTGGAAGGCAGCCATGATAGCCACTACACCACGGTCGCGACTATTCCTACACCTCACACTGAATCCGCAACTACAACTACAACTAACACCCACTCGCAAACAAATCATGCATGCATTCACGCACACACACTATATCATTCACTCCGAAAACGATCACCAACCCTACCTCCAACTCTGTCCGATCATCTCCGACTGTCTCGAACTAACTGTCCAACAGCACCGACAGACAACACCACCTACAACGTGCCAACATCAGCAATATCGTCAACACTATGCACTATGTGTCCAGCTGAAATACACCACATCACAACTTTGCCTGACCAAACTGCACAAAGCACAATTTTTCATGTGCACTCTCTCCATCGACACCAACACGTGAATTATCCAGTCAGACGCATTCTATTGGACGAGCAATCGAGGTGAAAATATCTACAGATGAATGTCACAATAATCGGCAAGACATGTGAGTTGGTGATCGGACGGAAACTCGCTGTTCATCTACCGCATCGTCAACAAAGCACAGTATCGAATTGAGAAGCACACTGACTATGGTTGTGAGCAATCACACAATCAGTCGGTTCTATCCTCACCTGTGTTACACAGTGGTTCTAGTGTACCGCTTCACATGTGTCCCGGTGTGGCTTTGTGTGTAGTGCACATGTAGTGCCCCAATCCACACACAATCGCCTCATCATTGTGTGTGTGCATACATGCTTGCAAACATGATTGTGCACATGATCGACCCATTCACTGAACGTCATTCAGAATCCTGTCTGTTCACTCGAGTCAGTGGCGATCCACACTTCAGTCTGTTCGTCTCTTGAAATATCGTTTCAATTGTCGTCAACTTGTCAATCCGAGAGAAGATATCTGAGTCGCAAGCACTTTCAACGTGCTTGTGTGATTGGATGGGAGAGGATGAGAGAATGCACATGCGAGTGCGAGGTGGAGAGAATGAATGAAGCGATTTGTGTTTGTTTCCATCTGAGATTGTGATGTGACATGTGGTAGTTTCTGAGTGAGTACACGGTGTTCGGCCAAATGTGTGTTTGTGATTTGAGGTGGTGGTGTATGGAGGAGGTGGAGTTTGAGGAAGAGAGGAGTTTATGAGTGAGTAGTTGATTTTGAAGGAATCATGATGAAGCTTGATTGGTGCATCAGTTGGGTGATCTGTCGTAGTGGGTAGACGAACGTGTGTTTATGCTGTGATACGAGTCGGCCACACTGGTGTGTCGTGGCGTTTCGGACAGTCGATGTTGAGGTGTGGAGACAATGATAAACGAGTTGTTTGTCTGTCCGGACTACGTGGGAGCAGAGTGTGTTGTCTTGAGTGTGGTCGGGTGTGTGTTGTGTGTGCGTTTGTATGGCGGAACTCACTCTGTGATGTCTGTATGTGAATGATGGGGTTGTTGTTGGTGATTTCAAAATCGCCTGCGACCGCCGGGAGTCGAACCCGGATCGACTGCTTGGAAGGCAGCCATGATAGCCACTACACCACGGTCGCGACTATTCCTACACCTCACACTGAATCCGCAACTACAACTACAACTAACACCCACTCGCAAACAAATCATGCATGCATTCACGCACACACACTATATCATTCACTCCGAAAACGATCACCAACCCTACCTCCAACTCTGTCCGATCATCTCCGACTGTCTCGAACTAACTGTCCAACAGCACCGACAGACAACACCACCTACAACGTGCCAACATCAGCAATATCGTCAACACTATGCACTATGTGTCCAGCTGAAATACACCACATCACAACTTTGCCTGACCAAACTGCACAAAGCACAATTTTTCATGTGCACTCTCTCCATCGACACCAACACGTGAATTATCCAGTCAGACGCATTCTATTGGACGAGCAATCGAGGTGAAAATATCTACAGATGAATGTCACAATAATCGGCAAGACATGTGAGTTGGTGATCGGACGGAAACTCGCTGTTCATCTACCGCATCGTCAACAAAGCACAGTATCGAATTGAGAAGCACACTGACTATGGTTGTGAGCAATCACACAATCAGTCGGTTCTATCCTCACCTGTGTTACACAGTGGTTCTAGTGTACCGCTTCACATGTGTCCCGGTGTGGCTTTGTGTGTAGTGCACATGTAGTGCCCCAATCCACACACAATCGCCTCATCATTGTGTGTGTGCATACATGCTTGCAAACATGATTGTGCACATGATCGACCCATTCACTGAACGTCATTCAGAATCCTGTCTGTTCACTCGAGTCAGTGGCGATCCACACTTCAGTCTGTTCGTCTCTTGAAATATCGTTTCAATTGTCGTCAACTTGTCAATCCGAGAGAAGATATCTGAGTCGCAAGCACTTTCAACGTGCTTGTGTGATTGGATGGGAGAGGATGAGAGAATGCACATGCGAGTGCGAGGTGGAGAGAATGAATGAAGCGATTTGTGTTTGTTTCCATCTGAGATTGTGATGTGACATGTGGTAGTTTCTGAGTGAGTACACGGTGTTCGGCCAAATGTGTGTTTGTGATTTGAGGTGGTGGTGTATGGAGGAGGTGGAGTTTGAGGAAGAGAGGAGTTTATGAGTGAGTAGTTGATTTTGAAGGAATCATGATGAAGCTTGATTGGTGCATCAGTTGGGTGATCTGTCGTAGTGGGTAGACGAACGTGTGTTTATGCTGTGATACGAGTCGGCCACACTGGTGTGTCGTGGCGTTTCGGACAGTCGATGTTGAGGTGTGGAGACAATGATAAACGAGTTGTTTGTCTGTCCGGACTACGTGGGAGCAGAGTGTGTTGTCTTGAGTGTGGTCGGGTGTGTGTTGTGTGTGCGTTTGTATGGCGGAACTCACTCTGTGATGTCTGTATGTGAATGATGGGGTTGTTGTTGGTGATTTCAAAATCGCCTGCGACCGCCGGGAGTCGAACCCGGATCGACTGCTTGGAAGGCAGCCATGATAGCCACTACACCACGGTCGCGACTATTCCTACACCTCACACTGAATCCGCAACTACAACTACAACTAACACCCACTCGCAAACAAATCATGCATGCATTCACGCACACACACTATATCATTCACTCCGAAAACGATCACCAACCCTACCTCCAACTCTGTCCGATCATCTCCGACTGTCTCGAACTAACTGTCCAACAGCACCGACAGACAACACCACCTACAACGTGCCAACATCAGCAATATCGTCAACACTATGCACTATGTGTCCAGCTGAAATACACCACATCACAACTTTGCCTGACCAAACTGCACAAAGCACAATTTTTCATGTGCACTCTCTCCATCGACACCAACACGTGAATTATCCAGTCAGACGCATTCTATTGGACGAGCAATCGAGGTGAAAATATCTACAGATGAATGTCACAATAATCGGCAAGACATGTGAGTTGGTGATCGGACGGAAACTCGCTGTTCATCTACCGCATCGTCAACAAAGCACAGTATCGAATTGAGAAGCACACTGACTATGGTTGTGAGCAATCACACAATCAGTCGGTTCTATCCTCACCTGTGTTACACAGTGGTTCTAGTGTACCGCTTCACATGTGTCCCGGTGTGGCTTTGTGTGTAGTGCACATGTAGTGCCCCAATCCACACACAATCGCCTCATCATTGTGTGTGTGCATACATGCTTGCAAACATGATTGTGCACATGATCGACCCATTCACTGAACGTCATTCAGAATCCTGTCTGTTCACTCGAGTCAGTGGCGATCCACACTTCAGTCTGTTCGTCTCTTGAAATATCGTTTCAATTGTCGTCAACTTGTCAATCCGAGAGAAGATATCTGAGTCGCAAGCACTTTCAACGTGCTTGTGTGATTGGATGGGAGAGGATGAGAGAATGCACATGCGAGTGCGAGGTGGAGAGAATGAATGAAGCGATTTGTGTTTGTTTCCATCTGAGATTGTGATGTGACATGTGGTAGTTTCTGAGTGAGTACACGGTGTTCGGCCAAATGTGTGTTTGTGATTTGAGGTGGTGGTGTATGGAGGAGGTGGAGTTTGAGGAAGAGAGGAGTTTATGAGTGAGTAGTTGATTTTGAAGGAATCATGATGAAGCTTGATTGGTGCATCAGTTGGGTGATCTGTCGTAGTGGGTAGACGAACGTGTGTTTATGCTGTGATACGAGTCGGCCACACTGGTGTGTCGTGGCGTTTCGGACAGTCGATGTTGAGGTGTGGAGACAATGATAAACGAGTTGTTTGTCTGTCCGGACTACGTGGGAGCAGAGTGTGTTGTCTTGAGTGTGGTCGGGTGTGTGTTGTGTGTGCGTTTGTATGGCGGAACTCACTCTGTGATGTCTGTATGTGAATGATGGGGTTGTTGTTGGTGATTTCAAAATCGCCTGCGACCGCCGGGAGTCGAACCCGGATCGACTGCTTGGAAGGCAGCCATGATAGCCACTACACCACGGTCGCGACTATTCCTACACCTCACACTGAATCCGCAACTACAACTACAACTAACACCCACTCGCAAACAAATCATGCATGCATTCACGCACACACACTATATCATTCACTCCGAAAACGATCACCAACCCTACCTCCAACTCTGTCCGATCATCTCCGACTGTCTCGAACTAACTGTCCAACAGCACCGACAGACAACACCACCTACAACGTGCCAACATCAGCAATATCGTCAACACTATGCACTATGTGTCCAGCTGAAATACACCACATCACAACTTTGCCTGACCAAACTGCACAAAGCACAATTTTTCATGTGCACTCTCTCCATCGACACCAACACGTGAATTATCCAGTCAGACGCATTCTATTGGACGAGCAATCGAGGTGAAAATATCTACAGATGAATGTCACAATAATCGGCAAGACATGTGAGTTGGTGATCGGACGGAAACTCGCTGTTCATCTACCGCATCGTCAACAAAGCACAGTATCGAATTGAGAAGCACACTGACTATGGTTGTGAGCAATCACACAATCAGTCGGTTCTATCCTCACCTGTGTTACACACTGGTTCTAGTGTACCGCTTCACATGTGTCCCGGTGTGGCTTTGTGTGTAGTGCACATGTAGTGCCCCAATCCACACACAATCGCCTCATCATTGTGTGTGTGCATACATGCTTGCAAACATGATTGTGCACATGATCGACCCATTCACTGAACGTCATTCAGAATCCTGTCTGTTCACTCGAGTCAGTGGCGATCCACACTTCAGTCTGTTCGTCTCTTGAAATATCGTTTCAATTGTCGTCAACTTGTCAATCCGAGAGAAGATATCTGAGTCGCAAGCACTTTCAACGTGCTTGTGTGATTGGATGGGAGAGGATGAGAGAATGCACATGCGAGTGCGAGGTGGAGAGAATGAATGAAGCGATTTGTGTTTGTTTCCATCTGAGATTGTGATGTGACATGTGGTAGTTTCTGAGTGAGTACACGGTGTTCGGCCAAATGTGTGTTTGTGATTTGAGGTGGTGGTGTATGGAGGAGGTGGAGTTTGAGGAAGAGAGGAGTTTATGAGTGAGTAGTTGATTTTGAAGGAATCATGATGAAGCTTGATTGGTGCATCAGTTGGGTGATCTGTCGTAGTGGGTAGACGAACGTGTGTTTATGCTGTGATACGAGTCGGCCACACTGGTGTGTCGTGGCGTTTCGGACAGTCGATGTTGAGGTGTGGAGACAATGATAAACGAGTTGTTTGTCTGTCCGGACTACGTGGGAGCAGAGTGTGTTGTCTTGAGTGTGGTCGGGTGTGTGTTGTGTGTGCGTTTGT